AATTATCCAGTTTGTACATACCATTACTCAAATTCATGTTGACGGATTTGGTATGTTTAATGAGACTGGATTCTATAATGCTCCTACTGTCAATTGAATTACAAGGTAATATTGAGGAGGCATTATCCCAGTCAATGCAATGCTTATTATCCCTCAAATGTACAAACAGAGCATTGTATTCCTGGCCTGTCCTAACACTATATTTACGGTATGTTGTTTAAGTCTAGTTACAAGATCTTTACCTGTCTGGCCTAAGTAAAACATATTACATTCCTTGCAAGGAACCTTATAAATGCAGCTGCCTGCATTGTTGGGGGAGTTCTTAATGAACATTTGTTTTACAGTGCATGAGTTTTTAAATGCCACATTAACATTTCAGTTTTCAGTTGTATAGGAAATTGAGAGAAATTTTTGTTAAATGGTAATACTAAGAGATTCTTATTGTCATGGGTTGGCTTAGGATCAGTTCTATAAAAAAGCTTCCTTAGTAATGTTAAGGCATTGTCTATAAAAGATCTAGGGTACTTAAGGTTCAAGCCAATATTATACATATATTTATATTCCTCATCAATGAATTCCGGACTGCATATTCTTAGAGCACGTAAAAACATTGATGAAAATAATGACTGTTTCACTCTGTTATGGTGGGCAGAATAATATCATAAACTGCACAATCAAATGGTGAAAACAGGTTGTCTGAGACACAGCTGCTATGAATTATGCAAGCCAAATGAGGATCTAACTTGGTAAGCCAAGTGGCTCTACATCCTTGATAATCACATGTTGTATGGTCCCCTTGGGTCCTGGGTGAAACTACTACTACTACTGAATTCAAATCCTCTACTGACGGACATTTCCTTGTTTGTAGTGTTTGAGCTGAACTTTCCAGTCCTTGTAGCTCCTCACTCAACACTAGTTCCCCAGGGACAGTTCTATGGTCTCCTCCATCATCTAGCAGTCCAGTAGGTGTTGGCAACATATAAATATTAAACACAACTTCAAATGAGGCGCTCAGCATTAGAAGGGGGTGAAGCGACACCCCGACCAAAATGCGTTTTTGATGGATATCACTCTTTTCACCCTTCCTCTACATGTTGGCGTTGGATGTAACCCTCTAGCTAGAATAGAAATATGGTAGAAAGTCCTTCAAAAATAAGGTGATTTCACCTCAGGTCTGGAGCTATGTATCTGGCTGTGCACTCAGCCAAAGAAGATGGCAACATCCCGTTCAGAGTGAGAGGAGCGCGAGCCAATGACAGCGCGCCTCCCTCGGACCATACCTCGAGGCAGCCAATCACAATGAATTTCCCCTTGCTATGTCACAGCACCTTGGACAATCCATGCGCCCAGAAGATGCCTCCTTGTTAGTTTGGGCGTGTTGTATAACACAAGGAGGTTCAGTGTACTTTCTACTGCTATTTTAGATAACTTTTTGGCGTAACATTGACATTATTCGTGTTCCACTGGTGTGAGAAGTGCTGTGCAATATCTGCCCGATATTAGAGCAAGACTCGAGTGAGGCCAGGCCTTCTGGTGTGGGTTCAGGAGCCTATTATTCCTGATCAAGTGTTTAGTGACGACAGTACTCACTTGGACACCCCAGGAATGCTTGGTGATAGTGATGGTGATTTTGGTATACAGTCGGCCCTTAACATACGCGGGGGTTAGGGCAACAGAGATACCCGTCAATGTTAAGAATCCGCATATTTTTGCTGCCCCCCCCCACCCTAAAAACACCCCTGGCCCCCCATGTCCTTATTTAAGTAAAGAAAAACACTATGTACATGTTTACAAACACTTTATTTAATATTAAAATGCAAAAAGAGCTATAAAAACAATTAATAATGTACTGGCAGGCATCTCCACTTGTCCCTGTTCCCGCCTCCAGAGCGTCACCACTCGTCCCCGCTTTATCCTTACGCCTCCACATCATCACTACTGCCGACAACAAACACAAATGTTTTGTGAATAACTGTACCTCCACTTCCTATGTACAGTACTGAACTGTACTGTGCTGTGCATTTTTACAAACAATAAACATGGCAAGAAAAGCAATATAAAAATTTCACTTTACTGTACCGTACCTATCCTCGGCGACAGGAGGGGGGTCATCGGGGTCATCGTCACTCGTTTCCATAGCTGGTGGTGAAGTGGGGGCGACGGTGGGTTCAGCTGCTTCCTCACTGCCGCCAGTGATGGATGGTGTTGTATCCCTCCTTCGGCAATCAAAGAACATGATGATAGGGAGTTGTTGTCTCTTTTTCATCTCTTCCATGATGTTTTTGTATGGAGCAAAAAGTCATCCATCCCTCGCATGAATTTCAGGGCACGCACCATGGAGGGGTCCATACCACAGGCCAGGTTTTTCAGTGCTTCAATATACCTGGTCATCTCCCCCAAATTCTCCAGCGTTATTTCTTGTAGCTGATGTCAACACAAGCGTGGTTACAGCGAGACTGACTGACTGAGGGAGCGCGGGAACGCAGGGTGGCGTGGCGGGCGATATGTGTGTGTGTGTGTGTGTGTGTGTGTGTGTGTGTGTGTGTGTGTGTGTGTGTGTGTGTGTGTGTGTGTAGTGTGGTGTGGTGTGGTGTGGTGTGGTGTGGTGTGGTGTGGTGTGGTGTGGTGTGGTGTGGAAGGCGGTGTGCAGTGTGTGGTGTCGAGCGCGATTTGAATGTATATTCCTCCGGCGGCAATCCGAGTATTTGCAAATCCGTGTATGTTAAACCCGCGTATGTTAAGGGTCGACTGTACTCATAATACAAAAAGTGACTGCTGTGCATCACAAGACCTTTTTGCAGACTGTGTTCCGGTACAGAGTTACGTGACAAGCACAGACGGCAATAATGACGATGAAAGTGAGTCTAATGGTAACACAAACAGTGACACTAATGTATCACAACAAGAACATGCAGACTGTGAGGAGGTAGAAGTGGACAGTGACAAGACATGCATTAACCTTGATAGTGATGAAAGTGAGCCTGACCCAACGAATGCTAGTGAAAGTGAGCCCATGACTCAATCTTATAATGAAACTGAACTGTTGCCGGCATCAATAATTAAACAATGATTTAGTTGATGAACAATCTGTGTGGCGATATTTAGAGTACAGAGAAAGAATTTGATCAGTACTACCTGATAGATTATGACGATGCCGTTAAAGTTATTGGTGTTAACCTGCAGGAACAATTTATTTGGGTTAGTATTTGTCTTGACCATAGCATTTCGGGTAATACAAAATATCCTTGCGGTGTAACAGAGATTTAGGGCTACATTCAACATCATTCGACATGAGTAAAAAGGTTAGTAACACGGTTAATTATAATAGTAGACCTTTAGCTATTTGCTTATAATGGGGTAGGCCTATTCCATTGAAGCAGTGCATAAACTACTCTCATTTAATAATTATATGGAAAGTGTACTCAATCTACGAAGAATTTGATAGTGTGGCAGTGGTGGAGTTATTTTGAACTGCGGTAGAGTAGGGCCTCGTCTTTCAACCTTGCATATTTGTATGGAGTTGCTGTCGTTTCACTAATAAATCATTTAGGTGTAAATCACTATTCCAATTTTTTTCTTACATTATCCGAGTGCTTCGAACAATCTGCCAGAGAGCATTGTGACAGCACCGAGTATGAATGGCTGTGAGCTCATTCAAGAACCAAGACAAGACTTGACAGCAGGGGCAGATCCAGGAATATCAAAAGGGGGGTCCAAGAAGTTGTGGGCAGGGGAACATGGCGAGCACAGTGAACCCACCCAACTGGGTTTTTTGTTTTAAATCTGACCAATATCATGGGAATTTAGAGGCCATTTTGAAGCCATGTGCACTTGATATTAGGAGACATTCTCAGGTCAATAGTACACTAATTACATTTTACTACTGTATACAAAAACGTCTGAGTACAATACAGCAGTAAAGAAAAAATATTGAATTTTCTGATGAAAAGGGGAATCTGGACCCCCAGAACCCTCTTTGGATCTGCCCCTGCAGAGACATGACCAACTGCCCAAATGGCTAATGAGCCAATGGCAAAGACTGTAAAAGTAAAAAAGCGGATGGAAACCCTGCCTATGAACCGTTACCATGGGAGGGTATGTCCCAAATTATAAACTTCGTCTACAGTTTTGTGTTTATTCAGAACTCCCAAGAAATACTTTGTGAAATATGGAAGATGTTAACTAGAAATTCCTCGGTGAACAAAGTAATGTGTTCCCAGTGAATTTAAATATCAGAGAAGTAATAATCAGTCCTATAATTCTTTAGGTATCAGATAATGGGAGGGTAGTTAAACATGCATAAAGTTATCTTCTTATAATTTATCTTAATACTAATACTGTATTTATACAATTGTCATTTTCAGGAAGGAAAAATACAGGTATGTAGCTTATGAAAGTAAATGCCTTCCAAACAGCCTATCTTGATGTCTGTAGCTAAGGAAGGGGGTAAGGATAATCTACTCAAACACAAGAATTTCTTATGCATAATCATCATCCGTGCAAGGGCAGATCCAGGGGGGGTCCTGGGGGTCCAGACCCCCCCCCCTTTTCATCAGAAAATTCCAATACTTTTTCTTTAATGCAGTATTGTTCTCAGGCATTTTTGTATAGTAAAAAGTAATTACTGTTGACCTCAGAATATCTCATAATATCAAGTGCACATGGTTTCAAAATGGCCTTTAAATGCCCATGATATTGGTCAGATTTTAAAAAAATTCTGGCTTTTTACACCCCCAATTCCCCATGCTGGGTGGGCTCACTTTGCTCACCATGTTCCCTCACCCAAAATTTCTTGGACCCCTCCCTTATGATATTCCTGGATCTGCCCCTGGGCCATGTGTTGTCTCCTGCTTAAAGTACATTAGTATTTTTCACACATTCAACCATTTCAAAAATAATAATACAGTAATTCACTTATAAGAAGTGGGGTGGATTAAGGTTGATGCCTTAACTGTAGAATGTAAATAATGTATGCTGTATTAGAAAAAACTTCTTCACAGACAGTGCACGAAGCTGCCATGAATGGGTGGATGAAGCCGGTGAAAGAATACCTGAAACATGGTGATGTGAACGCCATGTACAATGGGTGGACCTTATTGCACACCGCTTGCTGCCATGGAAGAGACAAGGTGGTGAAAGAGCTGGTCAATAACCCACATATCTGCGTCAACCTGCACAGGTCTACAGAAACTGCCCTCATGATGGCCTCCATGAAAGGGCACAAAGATTGTATTGATATTCTGATGAGAACGCAATTCAAGGTAAGGTTTTATGACTTAAGTCCCCTTTAAGTTTTCACCTTACTCTCGTATTTTGGAACCACCAAAATGGGAAGATTTTCTAAGGCAAGGAAAATATGGAGTCAAAGTATATAGAAAAAACACACAAGAAAGGAACAGATTAGTTGGCTAAATAATCTGTTCTTTCCCATAATAGTGCAGAATGACTAAGCTACATAGACTTGCTGTCTTTCATTCTCCTTAACTACCTTATCAATGTGTTCTGCAATGGTGTTCCCTTTCAATATAACAACAGTAGGTACAGTATAGGGTTCTTGGAGGTTTGAACTTAGTGACCAATAGGCACTGATTGGCTCGTTAGCCTCTTGGGCGGTCGGTCACATCTCTGTTATGCACTGTTGGCAAGTACGGGGCATGCACTGGCTCCTGAATGTATCTGAACCTGCTCCAGTCAATATAAATTGCATGGACAATATTACATAGCACATGACATCAACACTGCATTCTAAGTACAAGTCGACAAACAGAGGTAAGAAATGCTGTTGCTAGCAAATGGAAACTTGCACTTATACAGAAACTAAGACAAAAAGAAACACTTTCCATGGAGATAATATGATAAAACCTGAAAGCGTAGTCCTCAATTAGTCCACTGTAATTTAAATCTCAACATGTATGTTCAAACCTGAATGTATCTAGACGAAAATTATTATTAAATACTGACCTGGCTGTTGATGCTGCCAAACCTGATGTGTGAATGTCGTCACTTGCTAGATGTACCCAAGGATTCTGCTGTATAGAAACCTTGATGTACCTCAAATATACAGATACTCCTCAACTTATGACCTACTCGACTTACGACCACCAGGACATACGACGGCCGTGGTCATATAAAATATTTTTAAAATTACGTATTTTTGAATCCCGACGTTAGTGATCGCGCTGTGTACTGACAAAATTTCCGTTTGCAATTCCCTTTAAAATGGCTGGCAAGCGTAAAAGTGAGAGTTCTCATGGTGCTGAGAAGAAAAAGAGACACCCATTTTAGATTTTCTATGTAAGTTGTATTATTTTCGCATTTTCGACTTACGACCAATTCGACTTACGACTAATTCGACTTACGACCTGGTAGTCGGTCCCTACCCCCGTCATAAGTCGAAGACTGACTGTAACTAGAATATTAAGAGAAAATGTCACTACAGTACATGTACAAATACAGAAGTGAATACAAATTTTAACATCAGAAAGAAAACATTAGAAAAAGTATTTATAAATTATTTTTAAGGCACACAAAAACTGTTCCCTGTACTGTCTATATTATCAATATGTTAACTAAATTTCAGAGTGACCAATAATTTTAATATAAAAAATGCAGAAATATTCAAGAGACCAACTTTCTTGATACCTACTTCACTGGAAACGAATATAAACATAGAACCAATTACAAGTGCTGTATTGGCGGACTAGCCGATCAGCTGATGCGCACAACAAAACGTGTTTGTTGTAAGGATTTCTTTAATCAAAGTTTTGTTTGTTAATCGAACTGAAAATCCTTATGGGAGCTAATTCGTTAACCGAAATTTCGTTAATCGAACCGTTCGTTAACCGAGGGACCACTGTGTATAGAAAGAAGTTCTCCCAGAACTTGCCAAAATAACTGCTGCTTGGAATAGAAAATAATCAAAACACCTACTACACAAAAATTATAAAACTAAATTATGCCTTGGCATAACAGTATTATAAGACAATCTTTAAATTTTGCTGTCTCACGACTTTGTGACTTGCTAATACTGTACTGCCAATTTGTAATGATGTGGATACTGTACAGTACAGTATTACCCCGCTTTATGCAGGGTTTTTTTACGCGTTTCCACGTTTACGCGGTGCCCTGCCAGACCCGGAATGCTCCCTTTACGCGGTGCATGTACTCTTTTACGCGGAGAGCAGCGCGGGCAGGGTGCGGGCAGGGTGCGCACAAGGTCGCCCAATCATCAAAACATTACCGAGTTCTTCACCCGCCACCCACCACAGCCGGCCCAAGTCAGTGATAGTGATAGTGAGGATATGGACTTATATGGACTTTGAGGGGTTTGACAAAGAGGCCCTGCAAGCCTCTGTGGTGGATAGTGATACAATTGATACAAGTGATACAGGTGAGGGCCAATAATCTGCCCTCTGCCTCGGAACCAACCCCCCATCCCCGTGTGCCCAGCCATCTTTTCTACTAATGTTAGTGTTAAAAAACCTAATATTATTGATATTTCTCTTAATTATTAATTGTGTGTGCATACCATCATAAAATTAAGAAGTTATTTTTACTACAACGTAGGTATTGTGTCTGAAAAAGTGGAGTTTGGGGGTCGGCCCAGTCTCTATTTCAATTAATCCCATATGTTCTGTTGTTCACTTTACGCGTTTCACGCGTAATTGATGTAATTAAGTACTTTTAAACTCTTTCAATATTGTTACTCCATATATTGTTGTTCTTTTTTGTTGTATCTATAGTAGTAATTTAACTATAAAGTACACTAGAGTACTTGAAGTTAAAAGTTTATCACAGTACAGTATCATCTTCCCAGATTGCTAAGCGTCCCCCTGCCAAATAGCGCCTCAGCACTCTTTGCTCAGTGCATGTACAGTATTTTATATAAATTGGAGATATATACTAATTACCATAAGTCAATAGAAAAAAGTCAGAGCAAGAATTAAAATAATCAAGATTGAGATATATGCTGGGCGATGAATTTCATTGCAAGTAACAATAAACGCGACGGCTGGGCTTGCGAGTCAGCGTAGTTCACTTCCCATACATGCACATCCATGCTCTAAAGCAGTGGTTCCCAAACTTTTTCTGATCATTACCCACTTTTCATATATGATCCTTATCCATGGCCCCCCTCTCCCAATCCATAACTCTGGCTGGCTCAGCTGCTGACTGGCTGTTCTAGTGTGGTGGGGCTTGGGATTTTTATGTGTACATAGCCTCAGCTTATGCCCCCCTAAATTTTGCTGTATGGCCCCCCCAGGGGGCCATGGCCCCCAGTTTGGAAACCACTGCTCTAAAGTTTTCTTATTTTATACAGTCTCTCTTCGACTTACGACGGGGTTCAGTCCCGACGACCAGGTCGTAAGTCGAATTGGTCGTAAGTCGAAAAGGCGAAAATAATACATAGAAATTCTATAATGGGTGTCTCTTTTTCTTCTCGGCACCATGAGAACTCTCACTTTTACGCTTGCCAGCCATTTTAAAGGGAATTACAAAAAAAAATTTTGTCAGTACACAGGACGATCACTAATGTCAGGACTTGAAAAAGCGTAATTTGAAAAATATTTTATACGATCATGGCTGTCTTATGTCCGGGTTGTCGTAAGTCGAGTATGTCGTAAGTCGAGGAGTGCCTCGACTGATAGCCGGAATTGAAATTTTCTTGGAAAATCGTTCCCAAAGCTGGAATTTTCTAGAAAATTCAGGCTTTGGTAACGATTTTCCGAGGGGCACATTTTCCTAGAAAATTCCGGCTTTGGGAACGATTTTCCGAGGGGCACATTTTCTGGAAAATTCCCATAAAATTTTCCCAGTATCCAGAAAATTCCACGGTTAGAGAGATGATGTACAGTCCCCTTCACTAGTGCATTTACAGCAGCTAATCAGGTTTTGTGCAGTGTGGCAGCATTGTGTTTGTTTACATTCGACAGAAGGAAACTCGCAATAGTAAATATACTATGAAATTAAATTAAAACGATATTAAAACAAATATCTCAATGATAATGATTTGTGGAATGTTTATATGACAAGCCCCTGTAAACGCACTAGTGAAGGTGACTGTACATGCGCAATTTCTGGAACTTCCGAGAAAATTTTTCTGTAACCCGGAAAATTCAGGGAAAAAGGATTTTTTTTCCGGCTTTGAGAGAGTTGTCTCATTACTCAGAAATCTCTCATTCCTGGAAGTGCTCTGCACCATTTGTTCCAGCTAATGGAAATATCACTGTAAAATAATTAAATAAGAAAAATTAAAAACATAGGTGTGTGTGTGGTGGGAGGTGGTGGGCAATAACTCTGAGGCTGCACTCCCTCTCGATGTGATGTCATAGCATACACAGTGAAGAGTGTCAACCACACATTTGTGAGTCAGCTGGTCGACTGCTTGACTGAAGTAGGTCGTGTCACCCAAATGATGGTGTGAGTGTGGAAGGAACTATTTTTTGTGCATAAAATATGTGCTGCAGATAGTATTGTATTTTATGATATGCTGTGTATTGATTTTATTGTTTATCATTGCAATAAATATGGCAGCTCATCCCTGTTGCATGCAGTATTCAAACTTACATTACAGTACTAGCTGATTTTGGAAGAAGTTATATTTTTATATTACCATATTTCATTTTGGTGCTGGTTAGTTGAATCTACCGGTTGCCTGGATATTTGATAACTGGGATTTTACTGTACTATGTTTCTCTTCATTCTTTCAGTGCAAACTGGACACTGATGCCAAGAACAGCAGTGGCAACACAGCACTTGACCTTGCCTTTTTGTACAAACGAAAAGATGTAGCCTTTCTTCTTATGTCAGTTAAAATGGTGAGTATATTTCAGAGGTTTGCTTTCCTTTCATTTCCATCTCTTAGTCTCTCTAATATCAAGTGTTTCAGCATGAGTTTCTTTTTCAATTATACAGTACTTGACAATATACAAGAGACGATACCTATGCGCCTATCCACCTTCAGTCTTTATAAAGGCCTCAAAATATCTTAATATGATTCACAGTGGCTAAGCCAGCCACTTGTTCTATACCCATAACACTGGGGATGGAAACTGATCTCTAACAGTAGTTTTCTTACAATAAAACCACCCGATAAATACACTTGTTTAATGGAGCAGTGTTAAAATGGACCAGTTTACGGTTCTGGGCAAACACAAGAAATACTCTGCCACTAATGAACCACTGGGATATATCATCATTTATAATAATTAATGGGTAAAATTTTACTTTAACTACCATAAGTATTTGTATGCTTAGATTCGAGATAAGCTATATTGGGTAAATTTTAAGTTTTGCTCATCCCTGTACTTAGAAATACAGACTATGTTTTTTCCTGATGGTTTGAGATGTCTTATAAACGATTTTGAACTTTACAAAACTGGCAAATATTCCAAGAAAGAACCTTTGCTTATCTAGACGATTGGCTGATAATGGAAAACTCTTTCGAAGATTGTCAAAGGGCGACCCAACGTACACTAATACTATTTCAAAACCTTGGTTTAAAGATAAGCCAGGTAAAATCAAACTTAATACCATATCAAAAGTTGGATTGGTTAGGCCTCCACTGGGATACAAATCAGCAGTCAGTCAGTTTACCAGGAACAAAAGTAACACATTTGATAAACAAAGTAGAAGCCTTTTGTGTAAAGCACAAGGTTTCTTGGCACGATTGGGAAAAACTTCTGGGTCTGTTGAATTTTGCCACAATAGTGGTTCCATTGGGAAAGTTAAGGGAAAAGCAACTATCTCATCTGGGCTCGAAGTTGCTTCACAGAAACAAAAATGTTGCTTCTTCTCTCCCTATTCAGATAAAGAATTATCTGTTATGGTGGACAAACTGGGACAATGTAAACGGTTCCCTCTCCCTGGGTTCCACCTCAAACAGGTTTGGTCGTTTGTACGGATGCGTCCAAATTAGGGTGGGGATACCATTCTTCAAAGGGGGAATTCAATCAAGGAAAGTGGAGCAACTTCCTTTGGGACAAACACATAAATATAAAAGAATTAGCAGTGGTCCTATTCTTTTTGTCGGCAAACTCAAATTTACAAAATATGACGATCCTGTTTGCCATGGACAACAAAACGACAGTGTTTTGTCTCAATCATCAAGGGTCAACAAGGTCTTGGCCCCTTCTACAACTATCAGAAAAAATTTTCAGTATTTGTGCAACACAAACACTTTACCTCAAAGCAACTTATATACCGGGAGTGCAAAACAATTGGGCAGATGCGCTGTCCCGTCTCCGGCCAGTATCTACAGAAACAGAACGGTCCCTAAAGATATCGGAGTTCAAGAGTCTAGTGAAGAAGTTTGGAACTCCACAGATAGATCTGTTTGCCTCCCTAACAAATTACAAGATGCCAATTTATGCATCTCTGGAAAGGTCAAATCTTTTAGGAAAAGTCCTCCTCTTAGATTGGAACCTTTGGAATTCAATCTATCTATTCCCACCTGTGAAAATATTGCCCAAAGTGGTTCACAAATTCAGATCCTTCCTGGCAAAGTCCTCTTAATTGCACCATATTGGATCCTACAACCTTGGTGCCTGGATCTACTGGACTGGTGCCCGAATCCTCTACAATTGCAACAAGGATGTCTAGACCAGGTACTACATTCTCAGTTCGAGATATCCTTGGCACTTCACACTTGGAGTTTCTCAAAAAAAGTTTAAATAGGTTGTTGGGTAATTCCAATATAGCTAATCAAGTATTAGCAGGTCATAGACCCCAAACTTCTATTCAATATGAGAAAGCTTGGAATCTTATTCAACAATTTATCAAGTTAACAACTCCGGATTCATTATCGGAAACAGTTGTGTTAGAATTTTTAGAATATCTGTTCAGAGTTAAAGGCCTTCAAGGATCGACAATTGCATCTTATAAATCAGCGTTGGTTGACCCTCTGGCTTGGGGTTTTAATATTACCTTGAACCCAAGGATTTATCAAATACTAAGATCGTCCTTTTTCATTCAGAGACCTCCTCGACCCAAGAGAATCCCACCTTGGTCTCTGGAAAAAGTTACTAATCTTCTTATGGGGCCTAATTACAATATAAATCTGAACAGGGATAAATTACTCCAAAAGGCAGCTTTCCTTCTAGCAACAGCAACGGGTATGAGAATCAGTGAACTGATTTCAATTTCCAATAATCCATCATCATTGGCATTTTTTGACGAGGATGTTATCCTTTTTCCTACGGAGATCCTAAGAAAAAATGAAAGGGAAGATTTCCACAAGCTCAACCTATTAGGATAAAACGTCTAATGGATGAAACTAGGGTTCCTCACATATTGTGTCCAGTTAAAAATCTTCAGGAATGGTTAACCAGAGGCCCTTATGTTTTCTCATCAAGGGATGGTAAGAAATTATCTCCTAGTCAATTGACAAAATCCTTATCTCAATTAGTGAATCAAGCAGACTCTTGCCAGAAATTTTTGGTACATGACACTAGGAAATATGCAGGGTCTGTGGCCTTTCTGCGGCATATGAGTCTCAGTCAGATCAAGGAAATGGGCTTTTGGAGATCTTCAAACACTTTCAAAGACAGCTATCTTCATCTATCTCTGAGAGATGCTTCAAATGTGGTGGTGCTGGGTTCCCCTCCCCCATCTAGTCAATCTCCACTACCAGGACCTTCTTCCTCATTAGAATAAAGTGAGTATCCTTTTTGAGTAAATAAACATTTTACCTTCCGGTAAATGTTCCTAATTTTGGAAATTTTCAAAATCGTTTATAATATAATCAGGACCTCAGTCAGCAGAGCCTTGTATGCAAAGTCACCTCCCTCTCCACCTCCTCCTCGGGTATTCTTGCTGAGCGTCGCATTCATGAGCTTGAACAAAAAGCCGTTTTTTCCTAAAAACCAGTTTTTGTGATATAGCTCGAATGCGACGTCCATAACCCACCCATCTCCACCCCTCAAGAGTTGACTTTTAATTACTGCTCTCTCTGAGGCAAGAGATGAGCTTCACAGTGCTCATGGTGGCTGGATGAGGGAAGGACTTTGAAAATAGCAATTAAATGCCAGGTAGCGACGTGTCCTCCTAATATTACTTATTAAGTAATTATTAGATGTTTTAATTGCCTGTATGTTGGCCCGGCGAATTGGCTAGGAATTAACATACCTAGGTAGCATTGCTGAGCGTCGCATTCGAGCTATATCACAAAAACTGGGTTTTAGAAAAAAACGGCTTTTCTGAGCCGATCAGCCAAGAAGGTTGGACAACTACAGCTAGCTGCCTCCTGCTGGGAAGTTCACCCCAACCAATGACATCGCAACCAATCACAGAGCTTTTTGCAGTCACTTGACTTTTTAGCAACTTTAACCCTTATTTTTGACACTTTTTGGCCCAATTTATTTAAAAGTATCATTACCAAAGTGAATTTAAGCGTTTTCTTTACCCAGTGACCTGCCATCTTACGAAAAAATTCCGGCTGTCAACTCGTCCATTATCACCATGTGATAATGTACTGTACTTAAGAAATTAAGAGACAAAACATTGTTAATTCCCACTTTTTAAATATTCATGAATCACCTCCTTTTATTATCTAAGTATTTTTCATAGAAGTGAAATGAAGAAATGAAGAAAAGTATTACAGTAGCCTAAAAAAAATTATTAAAATATTACTTTTACCTTATCAGTATCCATAATTTTTATCATTTTTGTTTATCATTCAAGTGTTGCTTCTACCTGTTAGACATCCATTGTACAGTACCTATCCTCCAGTCACTAATCCCCAGTCTATTCTTGTTTCTACAGAAGGATCAAGACAGTGTTCCCAGTGAAGAAAAAGTAAATAAATTAGCACATCATGAAAAATAGTGTATTGCAGTATTTTCCTGCATGGGAGTATGCTGGATTTACTTAAAGTAGGTAATCAGCTCTCCAAAATATCTAGCAAATGTATAAAACAGAATGATATGCATGAGAACATTATCTTCCTCATGTATACATACAAAATATTCTAGAATCTTCATATAAAGACTCAACAGCTGTTGCTTATCCTGGTCATATCAGCATCATAATAGTTTGGAGAATGAGTGGTGCTTTTTCAGTTGTGTAGGTATTGAATATTTAATACTGTGATCCCTCGCTTAACGAACACAATTCGTTCCACAGAGTCGTTCGTTAACCGAAAATTTTATTAACCGAATCTACTATTTCAATGGGATAATGGGTAATTGGTTCCAACTCACAGAAACAGTACATACAAAGTACTGTATACCAGTAATAGAATTAACAAAACATTAAATACAGCCACTCCTTGACTTACGACGGGGTTAGGGACCCAAATCCAGGTCGTAAGTTGAATTGGTCTTTAGTTGAAAATGCGAAGATAATACATAGAAAATCTAAAATGGGTGTCTCTTTTTCTTCTCAGCACCACAAAACTCTCACTTTTAAGCATGCCAGCCATTTTAAAGGGAATTACAAAAGAAAAATTTGTCAGTACACAGTGCAATCACTAACGTTGGGACTTGAAAATACGTAATTTGAAAATTTTTTGGTATGACTGGGGCGGTCGTAAGTTGAGGAGTAGCTGTATAAACTAAATACAGTACTGTACTGTACAGAATATTGTACAATAATAAATAAAAAAACAATAAAATACTGTACAGTACTGTATTTTAACTTACTTTAAGGTGTGTATGTCGTATTCCCGGCAGCTTTGTTTACATATCAAACAGCTCATTGTAGAGGCAGTCGTTGATGACATGCCATATTCTTTACAGAGTGCATTGGTTCTAATGCCTTCTTCATATTTCATAATAATTTCTGCACTGTATATTATCAATATGTTAACTAAATTTCAGAATGACCAATAATTTTAATATAAAAAATGCAGAAATATTCAAGAGACCAACTTTCTTGATATTTACTTCACTGGAAACGAATGTAAACATAGAACCAATTACAAGTACTGTATTGGCGGACTAGCCGATCAGCTGATGCGCACAACAAAACGTGTTTGTCGTAAGGATTTCGTTAATCGAACTGAAAATCCTTATGGGAGCTAATTCGTTAACCGAAATTTCGTTAATCAAACGGTTCGTTAATCGAGGAACCACTGTATTAGCTTAATGTCCATAAAATTAAATACTGTACTGTACAGTATAGGACATGCTGTATATTATATAATTTAATCGTTAATTGTGAAACATCGGCCAGCAATATGTACTGAATTGTTGTGATAGAATTAATATACAGGGTATACAGGATTTAATTAATGTTTTATATGTATTTAAATAAGATAATGTATAATGTGATTAGATCGTTAACAGCAGCTGCTAACAATAACCAAAGCTATAACTTAATATACTTTTTCTAATAGAAAAAAAGGGTTGTTATTAACATTTGCCAGGCTTTTAGGGTCAACTTTAGATTTATTGGAGCAAATATATACCGTACATGTTGTTTGCTAATGATACAAGAACACCAGATTGACTTCGAGAACCAGAACCTGAAGCTTCATATAATACATGTACTATAAGTTGCTACAGAGTGCTTCAAGTCATCAGAATGGCCAATTCTTGCCACTTACCAAGAACATCATTAATTTTCTCTGCATTTCCATCTCTCTTATTCAGTAGTTCTTTCGAAACAGTGAAAAAAAATCCATGACGAGTAAACTTCCAGTTCCACTAACAGTGGCCATGACAGAGTGCAAGCAAAGTTGACAAATGGCTAAAACTTATTTTCCCAAATACAACAGGTATCACAAATTAAAGACAATTTTTTCAATATCTAAGTATCACTACCTTAGGTAGTGTCTTCCAACACCCTGCAAATCTGTCAGCATTATCCATAAATTAAAACATTTTGTAAAACCATCATGCTCCAATAAATTGTAATAGGTATACATTATCTGTAAGACATTTTGAGGCAATAATGAGCAATTATAGTTTATAGCTCAAAGAGGCATTACTTTAAGTCCATTGGAATGCTCAGTAATGCAATGATGCTTCAGCTAAATGACCCTACTGAGCAATAACGCTGCTGCATTCCTGCTAAAATTTTAAGCAGAAATAATCATTGCTTATTCTCTGTTGCTGCGACGGAATTTAACTTTAGTCATTTATGGTGTTCAGTACAGTACTACGATTATATTACAGTTCAGTGTATACTAATTGTAAGTGATATCTGTACTTTTTTGTTATGTACCAATAAAATTGCATATACTGTTCAGTATTACCAATTAGAATTGTTTTATTCAGCAAACTTTTGTACTGTATATGAACTGTAGATGCAGCACACTGGTACACAGCACTATCATATTGTTCCTATATAATTAATACTTGCACTGCAGAATCATATGAAAAAGTGACCCTGGAGGATGACAGACCTTAAATGAATACTTTGCATCAGTATTCACACAAGAGACAATGGATAACACCCCAGTAACTAAAAGAATGTATACCACTGAGGTGAAAAATTAATTAAAAAAGATAGCAATTACAGATGATATCATCAAAAGGAAAGTAGCCAGGTTGAAAGAATTCAAAGCCCCTGGAGTGGATGGAGCACAGATCAAGGTGATAGAGGAGATGACAAATGAAATCCTTGGATCAAGGTAAAGTGCCTAGATACTGGAAATTAACCAATATTACCCCAATATACAAGAAGGGTAGGAAGAAGAGTGCTGCAGAAAACTACTACAGGCCAATCAGCAAACATCACACACATGAAAGCTCTTTCAGAAACTTCTGAGGGACACCATTATCCAACATCTAATTGGTTTCATGGAAAGAAAATCCTGTCAGACAAGGTCCCACATGCACGACTAGCCTCCAAGATACAGTACAGGCATATTGTATCACAGGCAAGATTTTGAAGTAGATTAACAACGGCTCGAAGACAGGCAACAAAGAGTGGTAATAAATAGAGTATAGTATTCTGAATGGAAAAAATTCTCAGTGCAGTATCATGAGGCTCTATCCTTGGACCCACCGTTCATCATCCATATAAACAACATAGATGAAAACATATCGAACCACATTGCCAAGTTGCGGACAACATGAAAGTATTTGGGAAGGTAGCAAGTCAAGACGATGTTGCAACAATGCAGAAAGACCTGCATGAACTGTTCAAATGGTCTTGAGAAAGACAAATGCTCTTTAACATTATGAAATGCAGGACCCTACACATGGGATACAACAACCCTAAGCACAACTATTCTGGATACCATCAATAAGGTGAAAGATCTTGGCGTTATGATAGATTATTCACTAAAGGTGGCGCAACAAGTGGGGGCAGCAGTGAAGAAAGCAAATCATGATTTGGGTAACATAAAGCATACCTATGAATACAAAGATAGGAAAATGCTCCTTCAACTGTCTGGGTTACTGTACAGTAAGTCCCCATTGAAAGTTACTCCTTTGAACGAATCCTCACTATAATGAAAGCAAGTTTTTACTACCCATTTGCCGATTAACAAAAGAATGTTCTACTACAGGTTGTACCTCTCTAGTCCGGCATTCTGTGGTCCGGAAACTCCCGTGGTCCGGAACGATTTTAGTTTGTCCAATAGGTAGATGGGCAGCTTTTTTTTTTTTTTTTTTTACTTATCTGAATTATTATTATTATTATTTCAGGAGTATTAAATTTTTGCCCCTAAGGCCCCAATGTGGGTCAGTGACCTATGCCCGGGTGGGCTAATCCCCTTAAAAAACAAAAAACAAAACAAAGCCGCGGGAAATTAAGGTTTGTTTACATCCGGCAGTTCGGCTGCTCTATCTCTCTCTCTGCTTGTCTATACAGAGTACAACATTGAACCCTTCAATACATATGAGCAGTAAATAAGTGTTGCTTTCATATTCTTGTGTAGAGTAATGACGATATGTTTTCACATGTGCGCGCTTACATATGCGCAGTCTCACTTTTTTCTTTACCATTAATGGTTAGCTACTGATATTGTTCCATTTATTACATTAAATAACATTACTTCAAACAAGCATATTAATTTTTTTACTAAAGCTACAATCAGGGTCTTATTTTCTTCAGTTTTATATGTAGAACAATCAGTCACTGGTTTCGTAAGCTTTAACATAAACAATGCCGGCAGCCGTCTCGTCTCCTCTAATATTCCACGTATTATTAATAAATTGTATTGATAATTTTGCACACACATACGTTAATTCAATAAAAACAAATTCAGAAACATTAATTAAAATATATATGAACAGTAAATAAGTGTTGCTTTCATATTCTTATGTAAAATAATGACGATATGTTTTCACGTGTGCGCATGCGCACTTACATACGCGATCTCTCTTTTTTCTTTACCATTATCGTTAGCTACTTCTATTGTTCCATTTATTAACATTAAATAACATTACTTAAAACAACCACATTAATTTTACTACAGCTACAACCAAGGTCTTATTTTCTTCAGTTTTATATGTAGAACCAGTCAGTCACTGGTTTTGTAATCAATGAAAACAATGCTGTGTAATTCCCTTGTATGTTTTAATATTCTACGTATTATTAATGAATTGTATTGCTCATTTTGCACATATAAACATTAATTCAATAAAAAAGACATTCAGTAATAAACAATAATGAATATTTTGTACATAAGAGAAATGACGCTGTTTACACGATTATGCACGTCGTCTGCACGTTGGCGGGCCGTTCAAACCCGTCGAAATTCAAGTTTCCCCTGTCAAAATTTTTATTTATTTATTTTTTTTGTGTATTCCAATAAAATACGTGAAGAATTAAAAACTCGCGAAATTTGAGAAGCTACTATACGACATTTAACTCTTCAATATGTCTTCAAAGAGACCATGATGCAGAAAAAGTGGTGCTAGTGCTTCCAAGCATAAGCACAAGTCACTATCTATCCAGGAAAAGGGTGAATTTCCATGGTCCGGCACCGGTCAGGTCTCAAGGTTGCCGGACTAGAGAGGTACAACCTGCTATTACATAAGATAAGTCCCCCACCTTTCTGCTTTCTCACCACCAGCTCCATGATCACCACCATAAACACCACTACCTCTATTATCACCACCTAAATAATCATAATTTCGCCCGCCTCCCTCCCTCCCTCCCTCCCACCCACTGCGTCACACCGACACTGCCTCTCCCACTCATTCTTTGACTGTCATTCATGATAGTACAATATTGTACATTGTTTATTTGTTATTCTCACTCCATAATTTAAAATTTATGTTACAGTGTAGAAGGAACACGACGTTGTTCATTTATACTTACCGGTACACTCATTTTTGTGGGTAGACATCAGTTGTTAAA